CTAGTGGTGTTTCGGTCGCCAGCGCTCTCATAGGGGTGCTGATTTCAAAAACCACTACTTCAAATTATTCAACAATACTCAGTGCAGCATGAAGCAGTTTCCAATTCAACAATACTCAACACAGCATGAAGCAGTTTCTAATAAATATATACATATATAAATATATACATATATAAATATATACATATATAAATATATACATATATAAATATATACATATATAAATATACATATATATATAAATATATAAATAACAAAATACAATCAAAAAATAGTGTTTGGGAATTTAAGGTTAAGTGTCACCTTTTCTAGTGTCACTTTTTCGTAAATTCTACCACACTCATCTAACAACTCAGTATCCTTTATACATACTAACTTAGACTTCTTTATAATATCTTTGAACGAATTGACGGTTTGGTCAAATTGACCAGAAGTACTACAAATAACAACTAACTCATAGAATGGGTTCTTCTCATCTAGTTCTTGTTGTTGTGCAGCCATTTTAAGATAAGTGAAAGTCTTACCCGACCCAGGTGGTGCGATTAGACCTGTTATACCATTCTGAGCAAATAAGAACTTTTCATGTATGGGTTTTATCTGAGCATTTTCTAACTTCCTCTTGTTCTTGTTTAAAACATTCTCAAATTTTTTGTCAATGTCAGCAAACTTTTTTTCTAACATATTTTTAGAAAAATTAAAATTTTTATCTTTTTGAAAATGTCTAGCGATTTCGCTATCTATATTCGAGACAAACTTTTCGACAGCAAAACATCTGTCGACCATAAAATCTTACATAGTGTAAACAAGAAAGGTGAATTTGTTCTAAAGTTCTGTTTCTGGGAATATGACAAGAACCATAAAACATTACAAAGAGCAGTCTTAAAATTTGTCAATGACAGACTTGTTGACAGAGATGACGCCGATTGGAAAGATGAAGTCCAACAAAAGTTCTTAGAATGCAAAGAAGGCACATGCGCTGTTCTTGAAGATGAAATAGAAAACAGAATAGAAGAGCTATTAAAGGACAAAGAACTTTTACATAAATATGGTTCTGAGAAATTTGACATAACTCCACCAGAAAAGAAGAAGAAGAGAGAAAAGAAAGAAAAGAAAGAAAAGAAAGTAGAAGAGAAGAAAGAACCTGAACCAGTTCCAGAGAAAAAGAAATTTGACATGTAAAAATAAAATTTTATTTTTAGAACATTTCTGGGTCAATGTCAATGTTCTCTTCCTCTTTAGGAGCAAACACTGGCTTAGACTCTAAAATCTTTTTACCCAATTTACCTTGAACTTCAACTATCTTAGACTCATAATATTCATAGTCGTCTGCTTTCTTTGGTTCATAAGGTATAACAAGTTTGTATGCTTTACCTTCTTTAAGGTTTGAGAACCTTCTGTCAAAATTTTCTTTGACTGCTAACAAACCTTCTATGTCTAAGTCTTCAAATTTCGCACCATTTTTAGTCACAATAGCAAACTTAACTGGTTCGATGTTCCAAACTTTGTCAAATGTAGACTTTTCAAAATGGTAGAAGTAAACATTCAAATAAGCGAATGGGTCTAGTTCTTCTTTAAGTCCTGACATATATTTGTTGACTGAAATATATTTCGTCATCTTTTCTATCGGATAAAAAAATATTTTTTTTAAAATTTACTCAGAAAAATTATTTCTTTCTATATTTGCCATTCCGAACTTCGAAAAGATGTTTTATACTAGCATAGAATTTTTCTCTAGAGCTTGGTCTTATATCGTTTTCATGACAATATTTTCTATATTCTTCATATAAAGCCTTTTTTTCATACATTTCATAAGGACAATCTAACCAGAATAGCGCATATCCATTTTCGTTATCTAGGTCTCTATATGTTTCTTCTGTTTGTGGAATTTCGCTTTCTTCTGTTTGTGGAATTTCGCTTTGTGGCTTAAAAAGATGTGGGCAAGAAGGGTCTGGCGCTATGTAAAAAGTTAATTTTTCTGTCATCTTTTCTATCGGATAAAAAAATACTGTTTTTAAAATTTACTCAGAAAAATTTTTCTTTGTATATACACCATTCTGAACATCTAAAAGACTTTTGACATTTGCCAAGAATGTTCGTTTAGACGCTGTCATATAACCATACTCTTGACAATACTGTTTATACGAATCGTACAATGACCTTTCATCTAAACACTCAAAGTTAGTCTCATCTATAAACAGTTCATATACACTCTTGTTTGCTTCTAACAATGTTTGTCTCTCTTCGGTATGTGGAATTTGTCTTGGATTGAACTTAGAAATATCTAATGTCATGAAATATGAGAACAAGTGGTTGTAAAAGTCAGATGTCAAAGTTTCTGCTAAGTCGTCAAAATATTCTGTATCTTGCATATGAGCTTCTGACGTTCTGACAACTACATATCTTCTGTCAGAACTTTCTAACTTCATCGGAACGGCGTTGTTTGAAACCATGATGAAATTTGCAACATTTTCGCAAACTCTTTGGTCTCTATACTTTCTTTCAACAACTCCAACTTTGTCTGTTATAAGACTCTTCAAAGCATCTGAGTTTAAAACCTTTGTTGTATCTATACTTTGAAGTTCGTTACATACTATAAGTTTCATATTCTCTATTGAAGAGTTAAATTTACCGCAGATGTTTTCTAAGTTTGTCATATTCGGGTTCGAATAGCCCTCTAACAGTTTGCACAAAATATCTGTAAAGAATGTGTTCTTACCTGTTCCTTGTTTTCCAATTATAATGAGAGCAGTTTCATTCTTAGCACTTGGATGTTGTAAGATGTTTGCAAACCAACATAAGATATACTCATAGACTCTTTCGTTTCCATTGCATATAATTTCTTTGACATGGTCTAACCAAGCTTCTATAATATTTTCTTTCCATTCTACTTGTTCATATTTATATCCAGTGAAGATAGAATAGAAGTTTGGAGAAGGTGTATAGAACTTTATACCTCGAACTGAAAAATCTTCTAACTTTGACAATAAGATATCCAAGCATCTAACATCTTCATGCCAACTTGTACAACTTTATTTTCTTAAGTTTCTGTCTACATTCTTGTTCTGAAACTATTGTTGCTTTAGGTTTGTTAAAGACTACATCCCATTCTTTCATGACATAACATTCTGGGGCAGAGTCAACATAAATGACTAAACGTTTCAAATTCTCGACTGCTTTGTTATAGTCTCGAAATGGACACATATTTCTGAATGCTTGGAAGTCATAAAAATCTGAAACATCTATTCTGTACATTTTTATAAAAATAAAAAAATATTTTTTTTTATTCTTGACTTTGTTGTTCCATTTGTTGCATTTGTTGTTCTTGAGCTATTTGTTGTTGAAGTTGTTCTTGTAATACAATACTTTCACCAGTTGCATCTTCCAATTCGAAACTTTCTGCCGTCATTGACAAATACATAGGACATAAAAGTTTTACAGGAACAAAGTTTGCGTCGACTAAGGTTAAGTTTATGTTTGCTAAAGTGTTTGAGTTTACTAAAGCTGAAAACTCTGCATTCGAATGAACAATAGGCAAACCAGCAGAGAATGTGTTGTTTATACGCATGAGTATCTTTTGGTCATAGTAGTTTCTGTCGACATTCGAATAGCACTTTGAACCTAAGTTTGAAACAATATATAAAATAGGTGTACTTAAAGTCAATGGAACAGACATTCCTTGTATGACACCTTTTCCTGTTATAGGAAACTGTTGGTAGTAAAAACCAGATATAAGTTTTGTATTATAGCTCATATCGTTTATACTAAACTCAGTCGGACATCCAAACATAATGAAACCTGCTCTAGTTGCAGCACATGTTACATCCGTCCTTAAAGTATTAAATAAGTCAACAAAACCTGTTGGTGGTATATCTGAGTAAGTATCTTCAAAGGAGTATTTTTTACCATTCACAACAATAAAATCTTCTGGTGTCAAAAGAGCAAAACAGGCTTTAGTCGTCATCGTGTTTAAGGTCAGTTTACAATATCGTCCTTGAGGACTTTGTAAGTTTGTTGTTATAGAATTATATGACTCAGGGTTTTTAGTCGTAATAGTATAAACCATTATGTCTTCTTTGCCATTTACTTAGCAAATAAATTTTAATGAAATGTTTGTGGTCGTCAAATATTTTATGACGTCTGGGAAACTATACTTTAAGTTCAACGTTTCACCTCCTTTCATAACGTATATCTTGTCAATGACATTATATGAAACACCACAGCAACTAATGTCGGGTTCTATTTCTTTGATGTTTATATCGTCTGCCTCTGTCAAAAGTTTCAATAGTTCTTTCAAGACTTCATGAGGTGCAATGAACATATGAGTTCACTTTTACAGGTGTTTGTTCGACAAGTTTAACATTATACTTAAAGCTTGACAAATCTTCTCCTGAGTTTGAAGTTTGTCTTTCAGTTGTTGGTAGTCGTTTCGAATATCTGCAACAGAACTTAAGTCTCTGCTAACTTCAGGATATGTTGGTTGTTCTTTTACAGGAACAATTGTTATACCATCTTCGTCTTCGTATGGTTTCCCCACTTCAACATCTCTGTCTTTGACATTGACAACAACACTTTGACTGTTTGTTTGAGTTGGTGAATTTAACTTCACATCTGCCACCGCCATTAAACCTTTTGAAACACTCACGCTTCTATTTTTCGGAAATGACATTTTACTTAGAATAAAAATATGGACGCATTCGAGTATCTCTTCGAATTGAAGCAGAACAAAGTTTACACACACAAACAATACAAATACATTGACAGAATAGTTCTTTATACAAACAATGGTAAAATGTTATAGAATAGCAGTCTTTTGCTGAACCAAAAATATTTTCATAAAGCAAAGAAAGTTGGTATAACTGAAATGGTGAAAGTTCTTGAAGCAGACAAAAATATAACTTCAAAACTTACAGATATTTCTAAAGGTAAGTTTATCTTACAATATTATGTCAAAACTGGCGTACTGTCAATATTTGACGGAGAGAAGTCAGTTCAAGAACAACTTACTGACCTGCTGCCAAAATCTGCTCGATGGAAGCTGTCGTTATGCCAATCTGAGGAGCCCCAGCAGGTTTCATCGAACGAATCTTCAAAAGAGCATCTTCCGTGAAAAGTGCTATTGGTTTTGTAAACTTCTTTGCTCTCAATTCATCTGGACCGTCTCTGTCACCAGTATATTGTATTTGTACAGTACCAACAGTTGAAATACCACCCATAAAGTCTTCTGAGTCAGCAAATGGAATGCCAAGCCAAAAGTTTGAACGGTCTCCATTTGTATATTGAGTTTTTTGACCTCCTGTATGAGTCCATACTTTCACATATGGCATAATAGAACTTTGCATTTCAGGGTTAATGGTTGTTGTGAAGTTGTTGTTAAAGTTCATAGCATCTAATGTCAAGTTGTATGACCTCATATCCTCAACTGTAGAATATTCTTCTCTTGGATAATATTTGCCATCTATGTTTATATGGTATTTAATACCAGGGTTGTAGAAACAAGAATAGTCATTTATAGTTCGTCTGAACAGTACAAACATAGTATCTGCATGTTTCATTGCAGTTGTTAAAGCAATATCTGTTCTTGCACCTGGGTCAGCACTTTGGTTTCCAACTTCACCTGCAAAGTCTTTGACAGATATTTGGTGTATAGGGAACATAAGTGGAACTGCAATATATTTGGCAGCTAAAGCATTTGAAATATCTGGGTCCAACATATAGACTGCAAGTCTGCTTTCTATTCTCTTGCATTCAAATTTTTCGCATGTGAACTTAACTGGGTCCCAAGCATCTCCAGCAGCATTGAAATAATAGTTTACTTCAGTGTTGAGGTTTGAGAAACCAAAGTCTAAGTCAACTTTGTCTTTGCAAAATTCGGCGAATGACGTTTTATTTGTTCCCTTTACGTCTGTAAGAGTGAATGGGTCTTGTGTTGGTGCAATGACTAAGTTATTTTTGCTTGGAGTAAGTTCGATAGAAATTTTTCCTGCCCAGTTTGGCAAGTATCTTAAAAACCTGAAGATGAGGAAAGATGACAAAGGAACTCTAAGTTTCAGTTTTACTTTAGTGGCAGCAGTTCCATCTGAACCAGAAAGGTTAACATAAACTCCTGGAACGTTAGGGTCAAGTCTTCTTATTTTCTCAATAGTTGCATACTGGTCTGTTTGTTCTCTAGCTTGTGGTTGTACTGAGTTTCTCAAAGCGAACCATTCATAGTTTGCCCATGTTACTGTTTGAACTAAATCAGAGTTAGAATATATCTTATATCCCATGAAAACTTCTGGAGCATATTGGTATCCGACATAGAAAATTCCATTGCAACCTTTCTTGTCAGACAACTTGGCAGAAGGTTTTATTTCAATGTCTTGTTCCACGTATAAGAAAGAGTTGTCAATAGAAATTATATGAAACCTGTCGCAAGCAATATCTACTGTTGTTGAAGAACCTTCTCCAAACTCACCTACGTTTCCATAAGAAACAGCAGTTGTATATTCGTAAGTTCCAGGAACTATTTCTGACCTTCTAATGGCATTGTCGCATTCGTTATACCATTCGGAAACATTTCCATTCATGGCATCCAAAACTGTTGGCGTTATATTCTGAGCGGCGTACATTTCATATGGGTAAAAATATAGAATAGTTGGATTTATATGCATAATAGAACCCACGTGGACCAAGCTTTACTTTCTTCCTGACTGAGTTTTTAACTCTTCTTTTTCCTTCATTGCCCTCTGCTTGAAGTTGTTGCATCTTTGCATTATGTTCATCTAGTATGTTGCAAATTTCCCATGTCCTTTTTGCCTTTTGGCTCTGGTCGCCCATCTCAGGTAACCTATATCCTAGAAAGAGTTTGTCATAGTCTGTATTTGAGTCTTCGCGTATTGTTTGCATGACTCTTTCCTGAGTTTCCGGTTCAAGCTCTTCAAACAGTGCCTGTCCATATGGAATATGCTCGTTTCCAAATATATGTTTTTGTAGCCATTCTGGTTTTCTTTCCATGTTACCAACTATATCTTTTGTGAATGGGAAAGCTTTTACCCAATCTTTCAGTCTTGCGTCGTTTATTTCTGTAGTTGGTTTTATTTTGTCAAGGAACATGTTTTTCAATACTAACATTTCATTTGGTACTGTCCATTTGAGTTTTCTTAAATATTCATCCCTTCTCGGTTCATTGTCTGCAAAGTAAGTTTTTATGACATTTTGTAAACTTTCATTTGCAAGGTCATGTACAATAGGTTCTCTTCCTTCTCTGTCCATAACTTTCTTTCTAAACTCTTCACCAAATATACCATCTTTATGGTTCTGTGTAGTTCTTTGAGATAAATGTTCTAGAACGTCAGGTGTTATATTTCCATCAGCCATGTTCATTTCATACTGGTCCAAAATATCTGCATGTTTCATATCTTTCAATGGCATTAAAGCCGCGCTTAAAATACCAGCTATATCTCGTTCACCATTGACTTCCATTGCGTCTACAACTTCTTGGAATTGTGGTTGTAAGTTTATGAACCACCTATCCGGATTAGCTTTATGACCCCATCTCATTGTAGTTCCATCGTCTGCAGAAACAAAAGTAGGTTTGTTTCCATCTTGGTTAGGTTCTGAATGAACTTTAAACAATGTTTCATTTCTATATGTTTTCTTGAAATTTAACCTTTTATTTTCACCGAGTTCATCCGAAGATTGAACGTTAAATGCTCGTAAGTAAAAAGGGTTGTTGTATTTGTGTACATTTTTTTTCAGTTCTTCCATTCTATGCTGAATATTTTCATCTGGTGTGGAGTCTTTTGTATGTCGGCAAACATTTTTCGATATTCTTCTACTATGTCAGCCGAATTTTTTTTAGACTCTTGGAAATATTCCATATTCTCCGCATACTCTTGTTGAGGGTCAAGATTTTTCGGCTGTTCCAAATCTTCATCTAGTTCTGTGAAGTTAGTTTCCAAAGGAAGGACTTGTTCGTTTCCTTCAGGCTCTTCTAGCTGTTGTTGCTGAACTATTTCTTCCATGTCTGGTTGTATCTGAACTTCTTCCTGTGGAGTTTCTTGTACCTCATCTGCTGGCATTTCATATATTCCGAGACCGTTTTCAACAATTTCCCTATCTACGTCATCCGCATTCATAAGCTTTTGTTCTTTCGTTCCGTCTCTATTTTTTACGCGTTTCATGACGAAAGTTGAATTGTCATTTAGCTCTGACATCAAATATCTCGGAGTAAATTCATCCATGTCATTTGGATGATATGCTATTAAATCATATCCCTTAGCGAGCTTGTATTTTCCAGGTTTGAGATTATATCCGTTTTGGTGCTGAGCCATAAAGCTAAATAGGTTCGGGTCAGTATTTCCATCCTTGAACTTTCCAATAGCTTCTTTATATCTGTCACTAAAGTCAACAGTATCTGGGAAACCACACTCTTCTTTAAGCATTTTTAAGAATTCTTGGTTTCCTTGTTCTCTACTTCTTTTATGTCCTTGCTCTGTTTGTGGTTGTTGTTGTGCAGGGTTTTGAACTGTTGGTTGCTGTGCTGGTTGTTGTGTTGGTTGTTGTGCTGGTTGTGGAGGTGGTTGTTGTGCTGGTTGTTGTGCATGCCTGTGTCTGTGTCCATGTGACGATGTAAATGTTTTAGGTAGTCCTGGTGCAGGTGCTTCTCTTGGAGGGTTTGGTGGTATATAAGTTCCACCAGCTGGCACATATGTTCCATCTGCAGCGTAATGTCCTACCTGACTTTTCGTTTTTAAGAAAGCATTTACTAGGTCTGTTTTGGTCTGTTGTAACTCTTTTTCTTGACTTTTCACAACAGTTGCTCTAACGGCGTCATAGGCACTTTGAACTGCCTGTCTCGTTGCTGCATCTGTTATTTTCGTCATATTTTGTGCTACTTCTTTTAACTCTTTGTCGAAACCTTCAGACTTCAGTTTCTTTCCAGATGAGAAGTCGTTCACTTGTTTCACCTTACTATGAAGAGCTTCGAAAGCGTTCTTAAAGTCAGCATTTGTTAAAGCTTCATTTGAACTATCTTCATCCGCTTGTATTTTTGTCCTTATTGACCCTATGAGTTGGGCTGCTTTAGCGTTGGCTTGGGCATCTAACCAGTCATTGTTAGCTTTTATATATTCTGCGCTTTTCATTGCCTTTTGCATAGCCGCGTCGTTATTTTTACTTTCTTGTGCTAAGTTTTCATACTGTACGGTTTGGTTTTGCAACTGTAAAAGTTTTTCTGCCTTTACATTTGCTTCAACTTCTTTTTTATACTCATCGCTATCCATATATGTCTTCAGGGCTTTTTGTTTTATCTCTTCATCTTTCAGTATTTTATATTGAGTAGTATGGTTTTTCAAATTTATGACATCTTGTTCCATTTTTGCTACTTCTGCTGCTTTTTCTGACACTTTTTTTGCATATTCCTCTGTACTTAGTTCTTTCAGTTGTTCTTCTTTCTTCTTTTTCTCTACGTTTAACTCATTGAGTTTCTTTGTGTGTCTGTCATATTCTAGTTTCTTTTCGTTTTCACTTATTTGCTTCTGTATGTCTATGTTTGACTTTTTGACATCTGTTATTTGATTTTTGAGTGAACTCAAATTCATTTGACTTTGAGGGTTATAAGCTGTTCCGTCTGCAGCTCCACCATAGCCTGCCATTTTCGCTAAAAGTGCCGCTCTTAAACCTCCACTCTGTGCACCAATAACTCGGTTTAAAAGCATAGGGTTGCTTGACATTTGTTGCAACATAGTGGGGTCATTCATAATTTGTTGTTGCAACTGTTGTTGTGGTGTCAGTTTTACTATTGGATGTTTCAATGCTCTCTTCCTCTTACGTATATTCTTACGTAGCTTACGTGGCATTTTAAGTGAAGTTAAAAAGCGGTTTTTGACAGATGTTTATATGACACTTTTTGTTCAGCACAAAAAACTACTCGTCAAAGTGTTGTCAGTTTTGTAAAATAACCGTCCTATCTCATTCTATAAGGAAAAAGGCTTCTCAAAGTATACTTCCTTGGAACGCCTGTAACTTTTCCTGTAGCGACGATAGACCCTTACTTGTCCGGACAAAGTTATACTATTTTGAGTGCTCTACAAAAAAGTCAACAGCGACGACTCTCAAAAACCGTTGTGTAAAAAGTTTTACCGTTGGACAAAAAAGTATATATAGAAAACAAAAAACGTTTATAGTTCATTCAATATTTGAGATGGAACGGTTTTCCAACGGTAACTATTAAATAAAATAAAAAAATAGAGGGGGTCTCCGTTGACGAAAACGGTTCATCTCAAACTTTTCTATGAGTGGTCCGAAAAAACAGTTCATTTTTCATAATGTACGCGTCTCGAAC